GGGACACTTAGGTTGCTTCCACTTCTTGGCTATGGTGAATAATGCTGCAATGAACATAGGGGTGCATAAGCCTCTTTGGATTGTTGATTTCAGGTGCGTTGGATAGATTCCCAGTAGTGGGATGGCTGGATCATAGGGCATCTCTATTTTTAATTCTTTGAGGAATCTCCATACCGTTTTCCATAGAGGCTGCACCAGTTTGCATTCCTACCAGCTGTGTATGAGGGTTCCTGTTTCTCCACATCCTCTCCAACATTTGTTGTTTTTTGTCTTGGTGATTATAGCCATTCTAACAGGCGTGAGGTGGTATCTTAGTGTTGTTTTGATTTGCATTTCCCTGATGATTAGTGATGTTGAGCATCTTTTCATGTGCCTATTGGCCATCTGCATATCTTCCTTGGAGAAGTGTCTGTTCATTTCCTCTGCCCATTTTTCTAAGCACTATCTTTTAATTTAGATAGTCGATGAAACTACCATTTTACAGTAGCTTCCTTTTTACATTTGTTCACATTTACCTACTGCTTATTCTCAACAGCTCGTACCTTTGTGCTGCCGGGCATTGCTCAGCCGCTGTGACCTGGTGGTAGAAATCACGCTAAGGCACATGGCTGCTCAGAGAGCTTAGCAATGGTGCCGCCTCTGAAGAACTTACTGAAGTGAGAAACTTTTCTAATGATGTACATATTTATTTCATGTGGATCCTGAAAAAGATAAGGTCTGATGAGAGCAGGTCAAATGACATCCCTGCTATTTGGGAAGGGAAAAGCCACTGAGCAGCCAAGTTCTCCCCTCTGCACCTCAGAGCTTCCCTGTCCCTCAGAGGCTTTCTGGCTCCATGACAGAGGCTACAGGCACCCTCCCTCCACTCCCAACGGGTGTCCTACTTCTTCTAGAAAGCTGGACAGAAACCTTTTTCCAGGAGTTTAACGTGGCTAAAATCGGCTGACAACCTGAACTTTGAAAAGACTTCCCTAAACACCAAACGGAGTGAACACAGGGTCCAGGCATCTGGCTTACCCAGGAATGCTTGCTATACACTCCCCAGGGCCCACGCCCCATTTTCTGAGCAGCACCCTCCACTCTCCTGACTGCAGAGGTAGAGAGGCTTATATATAACCTGAGGCTAAGGACCAGCTTCAGCATCAGACTTTCTGGGTTTGAATAGTAGCTGTGAGACCTTGGTCCCTCTCTGACCTCAATTGCCTTGTCTATAAAATAAGGATCATAATGGGACCTGTTTTGTAGAGTTGTTAGGAGGATTGAAATACGAGTAAAATGCTTAGTGTCATTCCAAGTAAGCCCTTAATAAATGGCAGCTACTGGTTCTTCAGCCTGTCCCTCTCCTCTGCGTCTGGCCCATCCGCAGTCAGCCTTGCTGTCCTAAAACACCACCTTCCAGGAGCACACAAGGCTACCACCCCTGTGGGCCTCCTGGTGTTGCTCCCATCACAGCCCTCCCTCTGAAGACCTGTCTGCAATACTGGCTGCACTTCCACCTCCTCTCCTCATTGATTCTGCTTTTGTCTTCCATCACTCCATCAAAACAGTATTCTTGGGGAGGCCACAAAGGGCCTGAGCAAAGCAGTGCTCGTGGTTCCCTCCGCGTGTCCTCAGTCTCTCAGCAGTGTTGGTCTCTGCCGGGCCTGCCTTCTCTTCCTTGGTGACATGTTCTCTGCTTGTGTGTCTTCTGCCTGTCTGGCACTCCTCCTTCTTCTGACTGCAATTCCTCTTTCTCCTCTACCTGTTGGCATTCCTCAGGGCACAGACCCAGGCCCTCTTCTCTCCCCACTCAGACTTCTCTCCCTTGGGCTTCTCCTCCATTCTCGTCCTGTTCCATACCAGCTGGCAGCTCCCTAATGTATATATCTTCAGCCCAGACCAATCCCAGGAACTTTCAACTTAGTTATTCAAGGATGTATTTTAATATCTCTTTTTGTGCCTCAGACATTCTAAATTCACATACCCCGAACTGAGCTCTTAGTAAATCCTTTGCAAATCTTATCTTTCTTTCTTTCTTTCCATGTGAGTAAATGGTATGTCCATCCATCTTGTTGCTCAAGAAACCTGGGGCAACCTTGATTCCTGCCTCACCTTTACCATCTCTCATCAAATTCATTGCTAGTTTCTCTTGATTACTGCTAAAATACATTTCAGGTACTCTTCACTCCTTCTCCGCTGCCACCCGGGTCAAGCCAGCACCAGCTCCCCCTGGACTTCTGTTCTCCCTGCGTCCATCCAACCCTGGTCCCTGCGCTCAGTTCTCCAGACAGTAGTCAGAGTGATCTTTGAAATGTCAGTTGGATCCTAGCACTCCTCTGTTTAAAACCTTCTGGCCAGAATCATCAGAGAATAGAATCCCAAACCCTTCCCTTCCCATGGTACCCCACAGCCTCATCACAAATACTGCACCTTTGCTCGCTGGGGCTTTTCTCTTCTCCTGACCTTGCTCTTCCTGTCTCATGGCCATCATGGCTGCCATTCCCTCTGCTAGAATCCCCTTCCTGCTACTCTTCGCCTACTAATCCCAGCTCAGCTGGAGAGGCTCTTCCTGACCCCCAGATCTAAATTGGGCCCCTCCTGTTCTTCTCTCTTACCTCAGCCTGTCTTTTGTTCCTTTATCACAATTTGGTGTATGTATGTATACCTCCCACTGGGCCCTGAACTGCTAAGGGTCTGTTTTGTTCCCAATTGTTTGGCCTGCACCTGGCACATTGAGTGCCACACAGGAAGTACTCAGTCATCTTCCTTGAATGAACGACCACCAGCTCCTTGCCATTGAGTGTAATAGGGGAGGTTGCAGGGGTCCTGGTGGTCTGGTGGTTAAGATTCGGCACTCTCACCACCACGGCCTGGATTCGTTTCCCAGTCAGGGAACCACATCACCCGTCTGTCAGTTGTCACACTGTGGCGGCTGCGTGTTGCTGTGATGCTGAAAGCTCTGCCACCAGTATTTCAAGTACCAGCAGGGTCACCCATGGTGGACAGGTTTCAGTGGAGCTTACAGACTAAGACAGACTAGGAAGAAAGACCTGGCCACCCACTTGCAAAAATATTGGCCATGAAAACTCTTGAATAGCAGCAGAGCATTGTCTGGTACAACACCAGAAGATGAGAGGATAGCACAAAAAGACGGGGCAGGGTTCCACTCTGAGGGACACAGGGTCACTAGGAGTCGGAATCCACTCTATGGCACTAACACCAAGGCATGGGAATGGCAGCCCAAAGCACTGATGCCACAATAGAGGACATCTAGAATGTGCACCCAAAATGTGTCAGGTGATGCAGGGTTGCCAGGTTTGGAGAGGTGAGGGAAAGGGATCCTGCAAGACTTCCCAGAAGAACTGAAGCTCAGGGTGACAATGTGAGATCAGAAAGAGAGTCAGAGGAGGGCCGGCTGTCCATCCCTTTCTCCTGCCCTTCTGCCTGCTCCTGTGACAGTCTCTCCAACTCTTCAGCTTTTTCTAGTCTTGCCCCAGAGTTAATCCAGGACAAGGTCTACAGGAGTTATGCTGAAGAAGAAGAAAAATAGAAACCACTAGTAATTGCTACCCTGTGTCTCCCACCTAGTCATTTCCTGCCCCTGTACCCATTCCCTGGGCTTCACGCCAGCTCCTGCAGAGAAATGGTCCAGAAGTGATGGTGAAGGGAAAGACATTGAAGGGGTTGTTGGGTAATGGGGAACCTTTGTGCCCCTAGCTTTTTTTTTTTTTTTTTTTTACTTGTGAGGAAGATCAGCCCTGAGCTAACATCCATGCCAATTCTCCTCTTTTTGCTGAGGAAGACTGGCCCTGAGCTGACATCTGTGCCCATCTTCCTCCACTTTATATGGGATGCCGCCACAGGATGGCTTGCCGAGCGGTGTGTCGGTGCGCATCCGGGATCCGAACTTGGGCCGCCAGCAGCAGAGTGCGCACACTTAACCGCTACGCCACGGGGCTGGCCCCAGTGCCCCCAGCTTTTGTTTTTCTTATTAAAAGCAGTAAACATCTTTGGCAGAACCTGAAAGCACTCGGCTGTCTGTGATGCCGCATTTGAAAGGGCAGGAGACCCTGGAAGAGCAGGGCTAAAAGAAGAAAGGTCAGTCCCAGCAGGCCAGGACAGGCCCAGTCTTCACAAGAGGGCCTGTGGGGCAGCCATGCTGCTGTCCCAGAGCCACTGCCAGTGGCTCAGTTCGCATAGATGTCTCCCTCACGCTCCCTCCTAGGAGGGGAAGTAGATCCCCTGATTCACTGATCTGACACAGGAGGAACTTCCAAATACATTTTCTTGTGGAAATGTAGCTACACAAAATGGTTGGGGTCTGTAGAGTATAATGGTATTAACAGATCAACTATGGATCAACCAGGCCATAACCACCATTCATGAAATTGTTACTAAAGAAAAACATATTGTAACTTTCAAGCAACAGATTTACAATACAGTTATTGAGCATTTGCTAGGTATCAAGCACTGTGATAATCACTGTCCGTGCGTTATCATTGCATTTGATCCTTCTGACAACATTATGAGGAAGATACGCCCATTTTACAGATGAGTAAACTGAGATTTGGAGGTTAAGTAACTTTCCCAGGGTCATACAGTTAGTAAGTAGTGGCTCTAGGACTCAAACCCTGGTCTGATTCCACATCTTCACCATTGTGATGCACTTTCAAACATAACTGTTGCTTAAATTAGGTACTGCATTCACCTGAATATCTCAAGGCTTTTTTCCATCTGACTTTCTATCATTCTCTTTCTTCCATCACTATATATTTATCCTTTTTGAAAGCATTCTTTTCCTTTGAGCATTTCTCTAATTTCTTGAGTTGAAGTGGAAGCATATTCATGTTATTTTGCAAATGAATACTTGGTAAATATTCATTGATACTGTAAATATTAACTATGACCATGAGGAAAAGAAAATTCACAAATTGGATTTGTGATTGCATTTTGAACTCTCTTAATCTTCTTTTTTCAGTAACCCATTTCTATTTAAAATTTTGTTCATTTCTTGCTTAAAGGAAGAAGATTTCTCTCCCCACGTCAGCAATAGTCTGCCTCTGGCTTCGGCACCTTCCCAGCCTTGAAAAAGCAATGCTGCATCTTTTTGAAAAGCTGATCTCCAGTGAGAGAAATTTTCTGAGAAGGATCGAATGCTTTATGAAAGATTCATTGCTGGTACGTGCTGGGCTTTGATGAGGAGAAAAATCTTTAAAGAGGATGCTGGGTATCATCTCTTTTAGTAAAAGCAAGGGAAAGTATAAACAAGAGACAATTGGCAGCTTCTAAAATAATCATGTATCTACATTTTATTTTAAAAATACCTAATGTAGGGGCTTTTCTGCATCCTTGGAGCTTGTATTGGAAACAGGGAGAGATTCAAGGTTTCCTTGATTGTTGTACCTTATACTGTGTATTCCCCAGAATTGACATGAGGGCAGACTTTGTTAAAACAATATTTATTTCCACATGAAAAGTAAGTTTTAAAAAATGAAAATCTTATTAGCAAGAGGAGGAATAAATTAACAAACAAAACCATTCAAAAAGTAAACTTTTAGCTCTTCACTACAGGAAAAATAAAGTACTTAAGAGAAACAAAACAAAACCCTAGAAATATGGTTAAAACAACTAAGAATTCTGTAAGTTCTCTTTTGATGTAAGCCTGTCAGCCTTGAACCCTCGCTCAGTGCAGTTGCTCCCTCCCTGTCTCCCCTCATACTTGCGACTTCTCAGGCCTGGGAAGTCTGGGGCTCAGTGGGCCGAATGGGCCCCATTTTCTAATCCAGCGTCAGGTGGGTCAGCTCACAGGCAGTCTCAGAACCTGACCAGTCGGGGTGTTTTCCCTCTGTGGGAGGCAGCTCTTGAATTTATATACACTTTTGTAAGAACGGGAATAATGACCAATGCGCCCTGAAAAAACAATTCAAAACCTGCAAGTACCGTGCTCCTGGGGCATCTGTCTCCCAGGAACCTCAGTGGACTCACTCAGTTTCCTCATTAGCTTTTGTAATCTGGGAGAGATCTGGCACAGAGATTTTCTTCCTGTTGTACAGATGGAGAAAATTAGTTCAGAGGGAGATGTTGGACAGTCAGATCTTAAGTTGGTGGCTAGGAAACGGTAGGAGAGAGTGTTCACCTTCCCCACTGAGCTGAGACTGGGGCGGCTGAAGCCCTGTGCATGGAGTGCTCTGAGGTTGGCCGAGTTTACACAACCCCTACCTCCCAGACACCTTCTGTTTATTTAATTCAGTTCGAACTTCCTGTTTCCTTTCTTTCTCTTTCAATTTGGACACTTGTAAGGGAATCATAATTTAATCAGTTGCCTTCTTCCTATATCCTATTTCTCTTTATAGGTCTCAAACATTCTCCACCAGCTCACACATGTGATTGTGTTTGCCTTCTCCCTTACTTCCTGGGCTCCTCTCTGCCTTCCCGTTCTGGGGCCTCTCAGGTGACTATGGACAGTGTTGGAGGCGCCACTGGCCATGCTGCTTTCACCTGAAAGTTAGGTGAAGCCAATTGATTTGAAGTTTACAGTGTTTGATAGGAAGAAAACAAAGGAAGGAAGGAAGATAGATATAAAGAGTGAGAGAGCCCAAAGAGAGTGTTTTTAAGGAAAATTACTACTTGACCTCACCATTCAAAAGAGTTGCATATTAAGTCAAGAAATAAGAATGCACCTTTTATGAAAATAATTGCAGTATGGGCTGGCCCAGTGGCGTAGTGGTTAACTTCACGTGCTCTGGCGGCCCTAGGTTCACGGGTTTGGATCCCGGGTGTGGACCTACACACTGCTCATCAAGCCATGCTGTGCTGACATCCCACATACAACATAGAGGAAGATGGGCACAGATGTTAGCTCAGGGCCACTCCTCCTCACCAAAAAAAAAATAAATAATTGCAATAAAATTTAAAATAAAGGCTGTGAGAAGCCCCCTAGGAGCCCATTCCAAGTATTACCTTTATTATCAGGTAAATCTCTTTATTTCTAACTTAAATGTACATGCTATAATTGAATTTTCTCTGGTCCTTTTTCGGTGGCAAAATATAGTAACTAAGCTATTTCTTTGCTTTCAAGGTCCTGATTAAATTTTCTTTAAGTCTTTTCCATATAGAAAAATTTCAGTTCCATCAACTTTTCTAAGTTGGTTTGATTTCACAACCTTGTGGTTCTTCTCTGAACCTTCTCCACGTCCTCTTTAACTTGTGGCCCTCAGGCCTGAGCAGCACTTCAGCAAACACAGGACATCGCGGCGAGGCGAGTGAGAGAGAGAGAAAGCACTGTTAAACATTGCAGTGTATAACCTTCAGTTTCCGGTGTATAGTTTAGAATACTCTCCCCCAGTCAAACTGCTTCGAAGTCAGTTGATTTACAAAAGTGTTTATCAGGATCATGTGTGTAAGGATTCAGAGCTTCCATGATGGTTAAAGGGGGATTCCAGAGGGTGTTATTTGGTTTAATTTATTGTGGCACTGGCAGGATGTGACCTCTCTGTGCCTTATGGTTCAAGAAGGTAATTACAATACAGAGCTAGAAGTCCCTGATTGGCGTGGGCTGTCCTGTTTAGGCATCTGGGCCTGCAGTGTCAGAAAACCAAGCGGGCTGGAATAGGCCTGTGACGTGACTGAGTGATTAGAAGGGTAACCTGAAGAACCTGCTTCCTAATTGCATCATCTGATTCATTTATCTCAGCACAGTATCTTGGGGCAGTGACAGGCCCATGCAGAAGTGTCAGAGAGATCTTGAAGACTCAGATAGCACGGGACTGCTGTGCTTTCCTCCAGAAGAAACTTGATGCCTATTACATTAGAGTTGGATTCTGAGAGTAATTAAAGTGTGATGGTCTATGTAACTTGTATTTTATATGGAGCACGGTTAATTATGTTTCCATCTCTTGGGACTATCCAGAATTAGCCCTCGAAATTCTATCGTGACCAAAATGTTACAAAAACAAAAGATAAAAGTGTGGTACAGGTTGTACAAAGTGAAGTGATCTCCCCAAATGTTCCTCAGCCTCTCAGGGACTCAGAGGCCTGGCATTTTCCATTAAGACTTGTGGATAATAAGGTGCTAATCTAATATCACTTGAGTTCTAAATGCATATATGTTTTTGACTTCTAAAATAAAGTTTTTAAAACTTGTTTACTTTTGAGACTCACCCTTTGGCTTCCATGGGCTGGACTGCCCCCAAGTGCATGGCCACCTGCTGCATTTGGTGGCTCCTAAATAAATTGTGTTATTCACCCCAGTTTGTCATTTACTGTGCAGACTGACACTTTTCAAAAGCAGATAGTCTTGTGTTTCCCTTGACAGAGCAGGCACTGGAAGACCATAGTCCATAGCTTCAGACCTGACCTTAAAAACTGATGTCACCAAAAGCAATGAAAGCCACTTGCTAATTATGCAGCTTTCTTGGCGCTGTTTGGCTCGCCCTGAATCAGAAGGATGTTATGTTTTCCAGTTACAATTGTGTTTGTGGAGCCCAGAAAGCTATTGTTTATATTCTACATTTGAATGAAAAGTGCTGGCTGGGTGGCAGGGTGGCAATGTGCTTGGCTGCCCTGCGGCATGCCAGGACTGGGATGTGCCCTGGTTCCCATGCCCTCTCATTCGCTCCTTCGTCGGCTGACCCCATGTGCCGCCTGCCCCTCAAGCTGAGTCCAGAGGAGCTACTCCCTTGCCTTTACAGACAGATTTGCCCACAAAAGAGCAGGGAGCAGAGGAGGGAGCAGGGAGAGGGGAAGGGATGCCAGGTTGGTTTTTGTTTTTGTTTATTCAGATTTTAAGTGAGAAAACACTCCTCGTTCTCTCCTACTGAAAGTTTCATAACTCAATTAAAATTAGTTCTTTTATCTTGTCAAGTATACCTCAATAAAGCTGGGGGGAAAATTATTCTTGATCTAATAAAAGCTTAAGAATAAAAAACAGGCAGGTATCTCAGTGTCCTCCATGACCTCCTTGATATGAGATTGGATGGGTCGTCGTCTTCATTCTCCACACAGCAATCGTAGCCCCTTCAAAAAGAAAAAGAAACATCCTTTACACAAAATTCCAAACACAATTCCCCTTTAGTAAAAGATTATACTGAAGAATTAACTCCACATCCTGGATGATGTCAGTTTTCTGTGCTTGAATAACTTCTTACTAATCTTCTAGGGTTTTCTTTTCCTGCTTTTTCATTAGTGGCCTTTTAAGCATTTCTTTTTTGAGCTCTTTAATGTGATGCATGTAATTTAACAAAAGCTGAAATAGATAATTTAGCAGTGGTCAAATAGGAAAGTGTGGTGGTGGCTTTTGCTTGTGGCTGAGAGGTGAAGAATCTGCGTCTCTGACAGGAGTTGCACTTTCCAGTATCGACCTCAGGGAGGCACCAGATCCCCCAGCATTGTCTCTGTAAGGAGAGAGGCCCAGATGGCAAGTTCTGTTTTCACCGTTGGGGATGCAGCACTTTGCAACCAGTCAGAGATGAAGGGAGAGAGGGGGAAAAAAAACCAAACAAAAACAGGGCAGTGGTCGCCCTGGGAGGTTACCGGGAGGCTGAGCCTAGAGGCAGCAGCGGTTGAGGAGCTGTCTTCATGTTCGGGCTGCACAAGCTAACTGGAGGGAGGCCACTGGGGGAGGCTAGAAAGAGGACCTTCAGACTGGGGGGAGTTTGCTCAGCACCCGGAGCCAGCGTCCTGCGTCAGTGCCCTCAGAGAGCGCGCGTAAATTTAAAACACAAAAGTACATTTGGTACTTGTTAAGTTTTTTTTTTTTAAAGCCCAGAAATGACAGATTTATCACTAATTAAACAATAATTGCATTATGGAGTACTGAAAAAAATTGCATGTAGTATAAACAACGTCTGGTAAAGATTAAAAAGAATGATTTTTTCCAAGCTCAAATTTGTTGAAGGAAATTTGAATGTTTTGAGACAAAATAGATTCTAAAATGTAAAAGGGATATTTATAGTCTTATGTTTAGTATTTTGAAAGTAGAAGAGAAGAAAATGACATAATAAAAAATACATATTTATAAAGGTGCCTTATTTTACATGATGGACGTAAAGGTTTTTTATACAAGTAGATTTTGTTAAAAACTAAATTGCTTTTGAACTCAATAAAGGAGTTGACTGTTAAAATGAATCTTATGAAGAATCGACTTGAAGAACAAAATTTTTTTTTGATGAATTTAGTCACCCTTTAATTTATATACCTATGTTAACACAGGGCTCCTCATGTCAGGCGCGCAGTGGTTTGGAAGAGTTGGCTACACAGTGGGATGGGATTGCCAGCTGGTGGGTAAACTGGAGGGAAAGCTTCTCATCAGCCATTTCTTTTAAACAAATGACCATTCCTGAGTAAAATATTGAAGCTACATTAAAGTAGACTATGAAGGAGAATCTGTTCCAGGCTTACTGAACTTCAGCTTCTTATTTCTCACTGCAGTCTCCCTCTTTATTTTCTAGGAATAAATAACTAGGAAGGGTGATAAGTGAAAAAGACTTGAGAAGTTTTTTTTCTGTTTCTTTACTCCTTTTTATTTTTTATAAGAGGCATTCACTTTTGTCTGTGAATTGCCTCAAATCACAGTATAATTTCCCTTTCTAGTTTACATTTTCTCTCTTTCTCCTCCTCTCATATTCTCTCTCTCGCACACACACAGAATCAGAAAATGATAAAAAATAAAAGGAAAGATTTCTTCCTCAGAATTCTGTTCTTCCCTGTTATCAGGCCTCTTTCAAGTGGCATGTGCCTTGTAATAATCATTGATGAATCAGGATGAAAATAACAGATTAGCCATCAAGGGCAGAGAGCAAGCATCAGTGTTATTTGTACAGTTCCTGGTACAGAGTGACAAGCTGGCCTCTCCCTCGCCTCTCCCACGATGCAGGCCTAGAGAACATGGCCACTGCACATTTCTTCTGTGTTGACTTTCTCTTTTCTTGTTTTGTTGAGGGATGGGAATGAGCTGTCCTTCTAGGCAGAGAGGAGATCAACAATGCAGTTCTGGGTAGTTATGGGATATGGGGAGGAGATGCACACCCAACAGAACAATCTGGGCCACGAGAAAAGGAAGCCAGAGTCTGGAGCTCTCCATCATCATCTCCGTTCTCCTCTGACATTCAGTAAAGGGACTGGGGCAGCGTGAGGGGAGACAAGGAGGGCACAACTCATGTTATTGATGGCCTCCTGATGACATAGTTTCCCTAGACTTGAAATAACCTGTACATGGACATCGCTGGGCCAGATGGAGAAGAGAAGAGCTTGAGAAGGAACAGATTTTAGTAGGATGGAGAAAAACAGACAAACAGATGGAACCCAAGACAGATTTCCTTTTCTGTCCTCGTTTTTATAGAAAAGATAATTGCCCAGATTGTGGGGCTTCAGAGCTGGGTCCGGAGCTCTGGTTGCATAGTAGCCTGTGGTGTGTGACTGTAGGGTCCCATTTTACAAATAAAACAGGACACACAGGAGTCAAATGTTTGCCTCTTCTTTAGGGGGAAAATTTATGGCTTCCAAAGAAGCATAAATTAAGACTTTAATTCTTTTGGGAGGATTCCCTTGATAAGAAAAGCAGCTTAAATTTGCTTTTGTGATTCAGTGTCACTTGGACGCATGCCTGGCCTGTGAGCACTCCCAGCTTCACCAGGGTACTCACTGGCCCTGAAATTATGTGCTCGGGCAGTGTAAAGAGGCTCATTTTAAAAACCATCAGTAAAGGCTGTGGGTGAGAAAGAGCTGTTCACAGCTCTGGGATGGCCAGGGAGACCAGCTTTAAAACCAAAACCTCTGCCATTGCTGTTTCAGCAGGGTTCCCTGGCTCCTGCCATCTTACCTGTTTTAAGAGATAAAACGCGCTGTGAAAGCAGGTTGAGAGCAACCAGAGGTGTGAGCGTTTGGACAGAAAAAAGTCTGAGAGTCCATCAACATTGAGGGGCAGATTCCACACAGTGTGGAGACATTTAAAATATTGGATTGAGCTGTTCTGAGCATGTTTCTGCATGAAAGAAAAGTATGTCCAAGCTCTAGTCGACTCTTTTAACAAATTGAGTTAGACTTTCTTGCTTCCCACCTTGATGTTCATGGTAGCTCTGTTCTACACAATGGGTCATCCTTTTCTTTGGTATTCAGAAATCCCTGTAATTAGTATTGAATGATTTTCTAATGGTTTCTAATTGATAGAGTGTCTCTGGGGTAGTTAGGCCATTTAGAACAAAAGGAATGGTTCTGTTTACCGTTTTCAATTTTGGTTTTCTACCAGTACATTTTCAGGCTCTGTGTGTCTGCCTGTGGGCATGTGGCAGTGTTGTTTGGTCTTAAATACTCTTATTCAAGAGGCATATTGTCTATATATGAAACTTTGGAAGACTGTTCTGGCAAATTTGATGAATCACATTTCTTCAAGACATGCAGTTTGCTTTTCCCTTCTTGTTGGATTTTTCTATTATAAATGCATAGAAACTTTTATGATATTTTCTGGGCATATATCCAGTGACCTCTTAAAAACTGTTATTATTTACAGTGAGGCTGAGAAGCAGGGAGGTTAACTGACTTGACTGAGATCAAAGCCAAGAAATACGCTGCCTCTCTTCTGTTGAACTGTGATTCTGCCCAGTTACTTTCTTGAGTGCATAATGAAGTTATTGATGAGAATTTTTAGTTGGTTTCTTTTAGATAAAAATGCACATCAGTGAAGGATTAGGGAGTGTGGATCACTCTACTTAAAGAGTAGAGATTTGTTAACTTCCAAGTCACAAATCTCTCTCTTCAAATAGTTAAAAGGAAATCATCCCACCACTTTAACAAGTGGTAATGCTCTCGCCACAGCCTTCTGTGACAGTCTCTCATGGCAGCCTGTGAACGCTAGATGGCACACGTTCAATGTTAAACTCAGAACGCCAGCGCAGACCCAGTGTGGAAAAGCAAGTCCGTTGAGATAGGCGCCATTCTTTCTTCAGCGTGGTCCGGAAAACCTCAGAGGCAAAGCCTAACCTTTTCTCTTTTTTCTTATTGAGAGTGCTATGACAAAATGTTTCCCAAAGCTAATCCTATCAAGCGCAATATGACTAGAAGAAATTCTCTATAGAGCCTAATCCACTAACATTTGGATGTTACTGTAAAATATCTGTTTTAGAAACAAATGGCATTTTCCTCTGGCTTTACGTTCTGGCCAAAAAGATGTGGAGCCTGGGTCAGGCCCACTGAAGCCCCACGCAGGCCACAATAGGTCAGCTTATGCAGATTTAAACCATCAAAAACTCTCAAAAAAATATTCTCAGAATAAATCAGATGGCTTTCATTATTCAAGATGACAGTGTCTTTATTTTTTTTCATTAACCTTCTTTTCATCTTAAATAATTTAAGCTGCTAAATTCATAGTGCACTAAGGTATGGTATTTAGTCCAGCATGGTAGTGGTCACTGCCTTCTTCGGCAATAATTCTAAATTATTATGTACTCCTTACCTAGTAATCAGGAATGAAAAGAGAGCGGCCCAGATCTGACCTTGAGACACTTCTAGGCCATGTGAGGAGGTCAGGCACGTGAGCATATTACGTCAAACTAGCAACGCAGGCAGACTGTGTCCTCACTACAGCGTGCTGGTAGAAGGTGTTTTTTAAATTTTCCATGACATTGGGCCGGCTCCGTGGCTTAGCGGTTAAGTGCGCGCGCTCTGATGCTGGCGGCCCGGGTTCGGATCCCGGGAGCGCCCCGAGGCACCACTTCTCCGTGCAACGCGAGGCCGAGTCCCACGTACAGCAACTAGAAGGATGTGAACCTATGACATACAACTATCTACTGGGGCTTTGGGGGGAAAAAACTGAATAAATAAAATCTTTAAATTTTCCATGACACTTATTGACCCTTTTTTCTGGATCATATGGGATTATTATAGAAAATGTGGAACATACAGGAGTATAAAGAGGAAATAAAGCTTGTCCATAATCCCTTTGCCCCAAGAGAACCACTGTTTGCATTTGTATGCAGGGTTTTTTCCATGCACTGGTGGTACTTTTTTCTAACCCAAAGGAATATGCCCATTTTCTAGACACCAGCACTTCTGGACAACTCATTTGCCTGATAGTAGCAAGTTGTTACTGAAGAAATGCTTCTGATATTTTACTTTCTCATGGTCTTTTTCTTTACAGCCTGAAGCAGCCTGCCACCCTGCCATATTCAGAATTGTGGATGAAATGTTCAGGTAAAAGTTGTGCTGTTTCTGCTAGTTATTGATCTAAAAATGCTCAATTTCCAAATATGAAGAAAAAATTCTGTGGTAGTCTCTGGCTGTACCATGAAGAAATTAGTTTCTGATTCTATTCTTACCCCTCTGAGCTTTTTGGTAAAACCCAAATGTTAGTATATATTTAAAAGCCAATGCCTAAGATTAAGATAGCTTCTTTTTTTAACCTTTTAAAATTCTATTAATAATGGTAGAAAAGCAGAATTGAATTAGATATTAAATCATTAAATATTCATGTAGGATTTTTCTCAGTTCAAAATAAAGGGTAGCAGTGTACTCCCTTCACCACATGAGGGCTGACCAATCTTTTTAAAGGATTTGAAAGCTAAGGAAAACGGAGAAAAATAAATAAATAATGCCGTACTGAAAGAGCTCTTCTGAAAGGCACAATCAACTATGTTGTGTTATCTTACAACACATTAATTTTTATTTTGCAAATACGAGTACTCCTTGGGAAATGCATTGGATTTACAGATGATAAGAGAAGAGGAGACCACTGGACACCAGGTTGGGTTATGGCTGGCAGTTAGTGGGAGACTGAACCACTCTTGGGGAGCTCGTCACCTGGGGAAGGTTTCTAGCCTCTTTCCTGGGTGCTGGTTCAGCCAGGGTATCCACCCTCTCTCTACCTCCAGCCCCCTCACACTCAGAGTAGAGGCCCCTGGGCAGACAGCAGACACTGGGGAAAGGAATTTTTACAACAGCAAATAACCTAGCACTTGGGTTGGTCTTGAAACATACCAACTTTAAACTACATCAGCATAGAAATAAGAAGTCAGAATGCTGTTTTTAGTTGGAGCTAGCAAAATTTGAGTTGATTTTTTTGTTTAAACATAAAGAAAAGTTAGTTGTATGAAAATGCATGGAAACCAAACCAGGTACACGCAGATTCTTCCACCACTTTGCTGGGTGGATTTGGCTGAGCCATTTTACCCCCTTGGGCAGCTCTTTCTCCATTTGAAAAAGCAAAAGGTCTGTTGATGTTGCACGTCCAAGCATACAGTGTGCAAATATTTGTAAAGAGCATTCGGGCCTATGTGGAAGGGATCTGCAGTGGTTAATAATTTAAAAACCAAGGAAGGGTGCTCTGCACATTGCAACTGTAGAAAGTATTTGAAAAGGAGTGACAAATTTCTAGTGCTTTCACACAAGCACTGAAATCTGATGAGCTGAGATACTGCTGAAGCTTATAGCACAAAATGCATGTTTCCACTCTTCCCTTTTACAATTCAGGTTCACGTTTGCAGATAATCATTAAATATGTTATGATCTGGCTTTGCATTGCTCAGGTACGCACTCCTGGAAACCGACGGAGCCCCAGAAGTACTGGCCACCATTCAGGTGTTTACATGGTGCTTCTTAGAAGCTCTGGGAAAAGAGAAGAAGCAGGTTTGTTATATTGCATATATTATTCATTCCCCAGAGAAAAAAAGGCTGTTAAGAGTATTTGGCTAATCACCAGAAAGGAGCACTTTATTTTCAGTGATTTTGATAGACTGTTTAGCTCATGAAGAAAGCTTCCAAATGAATGCCCCAGCAAAGGTAAAACCATTTTATTTTATTTTATTTTATTTTATTTTATTTTATTTTATTTATTTTATTATTTTATTTTATTTATTTTTTTATTTTATTTATTTTTTATTTTATTTATTTTATTTTACTTTATTTATTTTATTTCATTTTATTTTATTTATTTTATTTTATATGAGAAAGATTAGCCCTGAACTAACATCTGTTGCCGATCCTCCTCTTTTTGCTGAGGAAGATTGGCCCTGGGCTAACATCCATGCGTATCTTCCTCTACTCGATATGTGGGACGCCTGCCACAGCGTGGCTTGATAAGTGGTGCATAGGTCCACACCCGGGATCCGAACCTGCGAACCCCAGGCCGCTGAAGCGGAGCATGCGAACTTAACCACTATGCCACTGGGCCAGAAAACCATTTTAATTGGAAATAAGTCAGGATAGTTCTTGTCTGCCCTCTGCCCTGGTACCCAGAAGCATTTATCTACTGTTGTGTCAGAGAACTCTGTCAGGCCAGCATGTGCTGCCCTGGAGGATGAGTTTTCCAGGCCTTTGTTGTATGCTGTCTGTTGAACAGGACTCTGCTCCTCCTAAGCCAGCCATAGGTATTCTGGAGTCTGTGTGGCATGTGCTAAGAAGGAAATGCCACTTCTTACAAAATAATACTGCACATTCTTAATTATTAGAGTTTCCATTCCTTATCAGAGACCCCAATGTGAATTGGATTCCAAGAGAGAAAGGAGGTAGTGAGAGCGACAAGGAGAGATTTGAATAATTGTAGAAGAGGAGCTGGGAATGGCAGTGACCAAGAGGTGCGAGTTGGACGCAATCAGTAAGCAAGAAGCCGGGCCTGGGGGCCTGTGGGAAGACTTGCACTGCGGGGCCCCATCGGCAGAGGCACCATGTGCAACAGGAACCTTTCTACCAGAGAGCTTTTGCCTTCAGGCATTTTAACTGGCCTGTACTTCTAATGGCCACAGACCTAACATTTCTGTGGTGCTTTGCCTGGTCTAGTGCCTGGGTCTCCTGCAGCTTCCTGTGACGTGCCTCATGGTCCCTGTGATGCTTTCTGCGGTTTGACTGAGGAGAGCAGGGCTGTGATGCTCGGCTCTACTAAAATCCCATACCCCTACGCCAAAGAAACCCTCAGGTTTTAGCAGATGTTTCTGCTTTTTGAGGCAATGATAAATATTTATGAAGTATTTTTTCCCATCCTCTCTTTCCCTGGGGAAGTTAGCTAGACTGTAGGCAAACAATATTATCAATGGTACCCTGCCTGGAATTTGGGAGGAGAGCTCTGCTGAAAGGCACTGGCTGGCCCTCACACTTATTTTGAGGCATAATTATAAATATCTTTTATCTCCCCTGTACATTCGTTATATTCTAAATACATTCTAAATACAATTTAGATTCTAAATTCTAAATCCTTACATTCTAAATACAGTTAGGAGCCAACCTCTAGAAACGCCCCCTTTGGCTCCTGGAACACACCTGCGTTGGGGTGGAGGACACTGGTGAAAGAAGTACTGCTCTGCAGCGTTCGCTTGAGTCTGTTTTTCTTAATCCGCTGTGCTCCTGAGTTGCTGTGTTGGCCTTGGGCACTATGGATTTGGACTGGAGTTGTAGTTGCTTTTAATTTAGAATAGTACCCTGCCCAGGCTACATGTGTCTGGTGGTGTGGAGAGCATACGCTGGGTCCTGGTGGAAGGCAGGGCAGGGCTCCAAAAAGAAACGAACTCATTGCCCCTCACCTTGGGCCCAAAATACGAGAGGAATAACCTCTTCCCTTTGCAGATACCTTCATAGACATGTATGTCATTGCTCTTCCCAAGCTGTTCCTGATTGCCTGCCTTTCTGACTGCTGGCCATTCTCATCATTGATCCCCTGCCTTCCTGAGGGCCCATGTTTAGATTAATCATAATTCTTGATGCATGACGCCCTGTGTCCTATTTGGTCCGTACATGACCTTCTTTTCTTTCTGTGTTTTATTCATTCATTCATATATTCATTCTTAATAAAATGAATATCTATGAACCCACATCCAAACAAGACCTGGCGCACTAGTAATAACTTACATGTATCCATGTGCTCCTCCTCTATCCTATAGCCCTGGCTTTCAGCCCCCCGGGAACCACCGTCTTGAATTTATGTTTCTCATTCCTTTGCTTTTTCTGAAAACAGTTTGATCGTATACATATGATTTCCTAAACCATGTTTTCTTTACTTTGTGGTTGTTTTATAAAACAAACAACAAACGAGAGGAGCATACCGTATGCAGTCTTTGAGCCTTGCTTTTCCACTCAGTATGTTATCAAGATTTCACTATGTCGTGTGTGGCATTTTGGGGTGTTGCTGTGTAGTGCTCCATTGGGAAAGTGTGCCACAATGTAGCCATTTTCCTGGTGGTGAGCACTGGGGCTGTTTCCTGATTTTATTTTCTTTTACAAACATTTCTGAACATTCTGGGAGATATACTTAGGGTGGTTATTAGGTATGCAAAAGTTCACCTTCGGTAGTTACTGCCAAAGTGTTTTCATACGTGTTTGTGCCAATTTATATTCCCCCTAGCAGTTTATGAGAAATCCCATTAATCCACATTCTTTCCCATTGTCAGAAATGTTTATCTTCAGTGCTTCTCATTCTCCTTTTGTCCTTTCCTCTCACCCTTGTTTTATTTGGAGAGCACAGTGCCGCTCCATCAATGTGCCCATTCGGACTAGTAAGCAAAAACTTAAGGTTGTCGTGACAAGCCACTTTTTCTGAACTTGCATAATGGCTCAGTACAAACAGCAAATCAGCTCAGGGTCTAGTGGCAGAGTTTGATAATGTACTAGACTAAATCTCCCACAGATAAAAATGGTAAACTCTGAGCAAAATATTTTTTAAAAACTATTTGAAGGTACTATAGAGCAACCAAAAAAGCAGATAGTAACTGGAGGGGATTCAAGCCTTGAAAAAGGGAACCACATTGGGTATTCTAACTTTCCCCCGCAGGCTCTCATGTGATGGGAGGGGGTTGAGTAGGGTCATGGGGTGGCCAGAACTCAAGGCACAATCTGATTAATTTGAGGTATCAAAAGACTGAGCTGTGGGCTGTCAGAGGAACAAAAAACAGATGGGACAAAAGAAAACATATCAAAAGATAGACCTAAACCCAAACATACCAACAAGTAGATTAATTACAAAAATTAAATGAAAATTAACTAAATATACTAGTAAAAAGGCAAAAATGTCAGACTAGATAAAAAACCAAGACCCAACTATATGTTGTTTTCAAGAGACCCTTTCTAATTATAAAGACACAGATCAATTAAAGTACAAGGAAGGAAAGAGATATGCTATGCAAAGAGTCAGCACCAGAAGGCTGGGATGGCTCTGCTAGCAGCACATGGAACAGACTTCAAGACAAAAAGTCTGACCAGAGACACAAACGGACATTCCATAATGATAAAATGGTCAGGTCACCAAGAGAAATACCAATTGTAAATGGATGTGTGCCTAATAACAGAGTTGCGAAATACATGAAGCAAAAACTGACAGAAGTAAAAAGAGAAGTAGACAAATCCCCAGTCACATATAAAATACTAAGAGTGAATTTAACAAAAGGTGTATAAGTCCTCTACACTGAAAACTATGCAACATTGCTGAACAAAACTAAAGAAAAGTCTGGGCTGGCCCCATGGTTAAGTTTGGTGCGCTCCACTTCAGCGGCCCGGGTTCACAGGTTTGGATCCCGGGCACAGACCTACACCACTTGTCAGCCATGCTGTGGCAGCGACCCACATAGAAAATAGAGGAAGATTGGCATCAGATGTTAGCTCAGGGCAAATGTTCCTCAGCAAAAA